TGTTCCTGGCGAGTTTACAATCTATCACCGTCACCAGCAACACAACACTCGGCCATACATCACCACACCACCTAGCCGTCATCGTTCTCTCCTCTCCACCTAGGCAACACGGAGCTGGCCTTCAATCTATTATAGGCACTATACCCTTGCCAAATTACGTATTGCACAATACATGGCTATGAACCTGTTTGCGCATATGGTAACCAAAAAACATATTGTGATTATTTTGACAGATATTGTTATTGTTAACTCTGCATTATAACGCTGTTTTGTCAAACATTTTACTTTTATCCAAAAAATTGCAGCTTTCGAAATCTCGATAATATTTCGATTAATTGTGCAGCTCTACTGACTCGCATAATTTAATCGTCAGCTGTGACCGAGCGGATGTGGTGAGGTGGAAATAAAGAATACAGTGTGTTATTACACTGATTACAAACTGTGATCATTCTGATCAATATTTATTTATTACCAGAAACTTGACATCAAGTCCTTCTTTGAGGGCAGAATGTAGTTTAAACTTAACATGTGACCTGGATACATTATTTGGTGGGGAGTGGTCAACCAGTGTGGGTTGTTCAGTGGCCGATGCAGATGCCGATATTAGCCGATATATAATGCTGATATCAAAACAAAGAAAAGTCATGTGTAATTCTTTTCTGTTCTATAGGACATTCAGCGATATGTTTACAGCAGGATGAAACCAGTTTCTACACCAACTCACCAAGACTCACAGGATTATCTGAATATTCCAGATAATCAACCCGATCAATCGGTCTGTCAGTGGGTCACATATACTCAAGTACAAGTGAGAAACCTACTCAAGAAAAAGTAATCTGAGTAAAACAAAGTCTACTTTTGTTTGTATTTGTATTAATCACAGTCTCTGTAACATCCAACATCCCAGCCCTCATGTGTACAACGCTGCCACCCAGTGGCTGAGGAGTTAAACACTAAAATCCATACAGTGTTTTTGAGAATCGATAAAATATCTCATAACAAAATATTGCGATAAGATATTTTTTGATGTTTTCTAACAGCTCGATTATTAACCTGCATTTTCCTGATCCAGATACAGACTGAACGTAAAGTGGAGCTGTGGCTGAACTGTGTCTAAACAGGTTTACAGTATGAAGTATGTTCACGCTGGACTTATGTGAACTCAAAGATGTCGCTCTGCAGATTAAGTCCCATTGATCTGTGAGTGAGCTGTTGATTGGATTTTCTTTCTCCAGTGGAACACAAAGCAAACTGCAGGAAGATCCATAAAAACAAACAACAGACATATTTAAAAGATCTCTTTGTGAAGTGGGATTGCCTGTAGTGACGTACATCGATGTACAGCTCGTACTGTGGTATGAAATTGAGTTGTTTTTTGCTGTTTGCCATTGTGTCATTCTGTTTATAATATTTGTGCTTTAAAGACCTGGAGGACTGTTGTCACTGCACCACGTCCCGAAAGTCACCGGAGCCGCCCGGCACAGCAGGATCGTGCTGAGGGAGCAGCTATCGCTCTCAAATGGCAGAGAGTGGAATAACATGATTGGCAGTGCGAGTGTGCGACTGTGTGTGCGGCCGGAGAGGAAACCTGCAGTGATTGAAGCTCATTCAGAGACATTAAAGATTCTTTATGGAGATTCTTTATGTTTATTCATCACATTATGAAATAAAAAAAATATTTATATGGTGGTAAAACAGAGTTATTAAACTATTAAATCTGCATGAAGACTAACTCTAACCCTTTAAAGTAAATATCCAGTATTTTTTGTGTTTTTCAAAGATATCTTTATTACTAACTTGTAGAGTTTTGGATCACAAAAGGAATCAATCTGCAGTGTGATCAGAATCAGAAATACTTTATTGATCCTCGGGGGGGAAATTTGTTTGTTACAGTTGCTCAAGGTGCTCACACAATGTTAAAGAATAGAAATAATAATATTACAATATCTAACACAATATATATAGAATATAAATGTAAGTACAAATAAAAATGGAAATAGAAATTTAAGAGCCTAATCTCTCTCATCTATCTATCTCATAATAATATATAAACAATACTAAGAAGAAATTAAATGAGAAAAAGTTGTGAGTTTTTAAAGATTGTAGTATTACAGAAGTTATAATAAATTATTATATAATAAATTATTACAAAGAATAAGCCAGTAATACAAATAGTAGCAGTAAAAATAACACTGTAAGCACACCTGCATTATCCATATTAAATATCTTTATGTCTTTATTTTATGTTGTAAATATGCTGTTTATATTAGGAATGCACCATAATCAATACTCAATAAGTCATTGGTATCTGCTGATAAAGGCTTTTTTTAAATATATATATTATTTTTTATTGATATATTTTCCTACCTGTACCCAAAGACCAGCCCAAACACATGTCCAGGACACAAAAGTGTAGAAAGATTCTGCTTACAGATGAGCTTTTGTGCCATTTTTTAGGATTTCTTTGTACAATCCTCCGTCTGTATCACTAGAGGTCACCAAAGATTCACAGGGGTCGTCAGGCCTTCTTGGTTTTAAGGTTTTTTTTAATGTACAGGCCTACATGTTAGCATTTCATTCATTCCTGTGATGAAGAACTAAATGAATACAGACAGATAATCGTAACAGGAAATAATCTGCGGAAAATCCATCCAAGTCAGTTTAATTAATGAATAAAAGTTTAAACTTTAAAGAAAAAATATAAACTACAATCAGGTTTTTAAATGTTGCATTGTTCTGTTGTCTTATAGCAGCGGTTCCCAACCTTCTTCCTTTAGGGAACCATTTTCTATAATTTATTTAAATGACTCAGTGACATATTTTATGTATATTTCATATTATATTAAAAACTGTACAATGAATCCAAACAGTGAACTCAGGGAGTTTGTGTAAAGATTTTGATGAATGTTGAGCAGATTATTTTCTGTTTAACTTTTTATATAATTCTCTGTATTATGTTTTGTTTTTGTTTAGTTTTTTATAATATTTAACTCTCATACAAACTTTATAGACTTCTTTTTTTGGGACAAATTTAATGTAATTTACTTGACAATTTAATTACAGAGGAGAAACAGAAAATATGAATAACTGTTGATTCATTTATTTATAAAACTGTTATATTTTACACATTATCTCTTTTTATATTAGCATATACTGTTACTACTTTATTTATATTCTCTTCGACTTTATGAATTTTGAAGCAAATTCCTTATATGTGAAAACCTACTTCACAACAAACCCGATTCTCGATTCTGGAAAGTAATCAAACTACTGTCATATTGTGAATGGGATTACATAATAACCCTGACAGCCACCAGGTGAAGGGAACCTGTATGCACGCCCATGGACGTGCTGTAGCTTTTATTCACAGTATAGACCTATATATTATAGTTATGTAACTCCTCTTCCTCCTAACATATCCCCCTCTCTAATCTCGAGGCTTGCAGGGGGAATCCACTCTCTTCCTCCCCGCACACTCCGGCTGGAAAAACGCAAGAAAATCTGCGGCAAAAGGTGGCTCAAAGTGCGGGGAAGGGAGTGTGCAAGCGACGGGCTGGGCCTCGGACAGGTCCAGCCTCATTCCTGCACGCTGTGTGTGTGTGTGTGT